ACCAAATACTTTGCACGTACAACAGTCAGTGGCTTTTAGTCAGCTTTGTACTCAATCACTCTCTTGAGTATGATACGATACCATCTTATTCCGATTCATCAAATAATTCTAATTTCAGCAGCCATCATGTTACACATCATAAGCCTCAGGATGTCTGGCATAAGTGTAATTTATCCTGATTATTCAGTAGTTATTCTCTACCAAAGTGTACTGTTTACGTGCGGACAGATGATCAAGACTGCAGCACTAAGTTTACAGTACACAATATATACATTAGTGCTGAAGAACATTTTTCTTCATCCTATTTTGCTTATGGCTGTCTCTTTTTAAGGATGGACTTTGTGTATTGGTGTCGAATGTGACTGGATTTTAGCTGAAATCGCACCAAGCACAATCTTCGAGACACCGCTCGATCGTCAGTGTTTTCTGTATTGTATTGTATTGTGTTATTGTATTGTGTACCTATTACGCCTGTGTATTTTACCTTTATATTATAATTAATTATGTATTTTGTAACACCTATATCTATCTGTATCTTTATTATTGTAATTTGTTATCACCGGGTAGTGCTCACTGCGGAACCCGGCATGTACCATTGTGTGCGTTAATAAAGAAATGAATGAATGAATGAATGTCTCTTTTGTCCGTTATCACCAGGCTATGAGTCACGTAATTGTAAAATGGGAAATCTACAACGAAAAAGTGATGAATCGAAAGTATCATGAGGGCGTATTATGATGTATGCATAGGCATACGTGGACTAGAGCGATAGAGGAAAGAGCAAAGACGAGCGCTTAAAAAGAAAGATAGGCAGGGTCAGACCCTCAGATGTACAACAATTCTCGAACGAATAGGTGTGTACGTGTGCTGATCTTCGTAATTATAAATTGTGAATACAAGTGACTAATATTATGTTCTTTTTTATTTTGTGCATGTTATAAGTTATAAATAAATATAAACAAACAACACTAACCCGATAACATTAAATCTAAATACCAAAATGATTAATTTACTGTGTTTTTGTTATTTCTTACTTCTGTTTTTAGGTATTCGGTATTCGGCCGAATACCGAATAGTAACTGAATATTCATTACATCACTAATTAAAATTGATTGTATTAATTGTAGATTGTTTCGTGATGATAAGCAGTTCACTATTGGGAATTGATTATTCACATGCTTTGATAGATGCTGGAGTTTGCTTTGCACTTGTCTGCCTTTGTTCAATTCTGAGATGTTTTCTCTTGTATAGAGAACTGGCGTGTGTTGTTTTCTGTTAATATATGATAAATGTAAGAAAATAGATGTTACTAAATAAGAAAAAAGTTATAGCCCAAGCTTGTATATAGAATAGATGGATAGTATATAATCAAATGTACTTGGAATTTCAAAGCCTGTTTTAACTCTTTCCACCCTGTGGGTCTTTGTTCTGTATCTGTTATGGGTTTGAGTAGCTGGCTGGTAAAGGACTGGGCCCAACCTAGCCAGGTCAGACTGTTTGTGAAAAATTCCCGAGCTTTTCGACTCAGATTCAAACCCAAGCCCTCCAGAGTGGTGGGCCAGTGTCTTTACTTCCTCAGCCATTGCAAATAACTGTAAATGCCCTAATGCATGCAATCACTTGGTAGCAAATCCAAAATGGTTGGGCATCATGGCAAAGTAGGATTTCTTCAGCTTTGAGAATTCCAGCATTTCGATGACTGATGACGGTTGTTTGTTTCCAAAGGCATACATACTCTCTATTAAAAAATTTATTTAATTTGACACCTGAGTAGATTAAGTTCTAAAGCAATTCAAAACTGGATATAATTCTATTTTTTAAAATTATGTTAAATATCCAGATATTTGATAAGAATTAATTACCCAACTAATCTGGAAAGTTCAAAATTTAAATATTTTGTATTCCCTGGATGCAAATAAAAAGATAGAAGTTAGTAATGGATGTAATAGTAATAGTAAATCATTAGTATTATCATCATTATTAGTATAATGGTTTGAGAGTTAAATCTATTGAATCCATACAGTGACCAAAAGTATCTAGACCTATAAATTTATATTTATCTATTGATTTTTAGCTTTGTAAATAGTAAAGAATAAGATTACATATCTAATAAATATATATTCTTTTAGTTTGTGCCATTTAGAGAATTTGTATCTGGAGAAAATTGGAGTAAAAGTCAAGTATTGCTGGCGAAGGAAGTGCTGGCTGAATTGCCTGATCAATTTTTAGAATATATGAAAAAGCACAACATCAAACCAAAACCCAAGCCCCAAGCTCCAGTTGCTAGTGCACCTTGTCTTACATAAAAATATATTTATGAAGATCATTTTTCATTTATAAGAGAAGAACAAAAATTTGTTTCATAATTTTTTTTATATACACTTAATATACATATTTTTAATTTTGAATAATTTTTTTCTACATACTTTAGGAAGTATTTTTAGGAAAACTTGGACATAGTGCATTGTGGCGGACAAGAACGGCTGCCATTGTTATAGTTTATTGTTCCATTACCACACCGTGCCAAAGGATTCCACATCCCAAATTTGATTTGCCCATCAAATATACCAAATTTTTTAACACAACAGTTATATGGAGACACATACCAGTTTTAAATGTTACTTGTTATCTCTTGTTTCTCTACACTCAGAGATATGTGGAGTGTGTGGTGCTTACACGTTGTTAATACAAAAACCATGTTTGTTACAATATATAATTTATTATTTGAACAATGTAAGCATGTTTTGTATGCATTAGGTGTTAACCATTTAATGTACTCGGCAACAATGTAGACGCCTCCATTTTCATTAAAGAAAACAGAAAATGTGCATGGAGTGACGATGCCTTACTTCTAGATGTCCTTACTGCCATTATACACATCTATAGTTTGTTTCGGAACAGAAGAAACATTCGCTTTATATTCAATTTCTAAAAAAATACAGTTGGCTTCCCATAAAATGTAATTGTTTTATTATTGTTGATTATTAGGAAAGTTCTATTTGAATGAAGTTTTATAAAAGTTAAACAATACATTAAAATTCCAGTTATCTAGATTTCCCTCGGACTTTGTTAAAAATAAATTATATTCATTCACAGGTACATTTTTGATAATTATGTACGTGCATATATATTGGAGATTTTGATAGAAAAAATAGATATTTGCTTAAACTAGTTATCTGGATAATTGGAGTTTTTAATGTGTTTTTATGTAAGAAAAAAAGATTGTTAAATAATTATAATTTTAAATTATTTTGTACGATTATAACCATCAAATGTTAACCATTTTCTCCTCTTTTCTAATTTTTTTGTACTGTCTAAATTGTTCATATGGTTGTCGTTTTGCACTTTTATGTTCTCGCTTCCTTGCTCTTATTGTCGTCACCTTGCATTTTTCTTGATATTACCTCCTATTGTTTAATCTTTGTACCAAACCACCTTAAACAATGCTAAACGTAACAATTACTAAAGGGATTTCCAACGATAGAAATACTTTGGACGGTAAAATCGAACAGATTCCAGTCATCTCATACAAAGAAAATAACGTAATGCAGATCGGATTAAGCTCGAGATTGGAAAATATTTGTCGTCAAACTGCTCCAGTAATTAAAACTCTTGGCAACATTCTTCAAAATTTGAGAATTTTATCTGTAAAATTCACAGACTTCTAAACCTTTCCACCTTAACTGTTGGAATTATCTGTCATGGTTTTCAAGAGAATTGCATGTGAAATTACAATATTGTAATTCACTTGTACTTGCAATCATATTATGTTTTATGCAATGTTTTGTGCATATAAAGGTTTAATTGTATTGTATATTTTATGTTAAAAACCACGTTAATGTGCTCAAGTTCTCCTAATGGAGTTCACTGATGTTTTTTGAATTGTTTGATGTATTTTACATTTAAAAAACAAAGAAAACAAGATTATAGTCTGTATGAAGAGAAATTAAAATAAAATTGTTCAAAAAAAATCTTAAAATATTGTGTTGTTTGAGTCCATATGTTTTTTTTTTGGAAAGGGAAAGAGATGAGGTGAAATTTTTGAAGTTTTCACACACTTTAATTCTTATTTTTAAATGGAAAAAATGTTTTTTAGAAACTTTATGTAATTTAAAACTAAAAAACCCTTTAAGATAATTTTGTAGAATTTTTAAAAGTAGCCTTTCAAGTCAGAAGCATCCAAAAAGGAAGTGAATGAATGAAATTACAGGAAGATGTTCAAGGCTAAAGGTGTGGCAATGGAATTTTGCCAGTTCCAAAAATACATTTTTATTTATTTTTTAATATGAAATTCAAAAAGCTCACTAATTCTCTCACGAATCAAAATTAAATATATACGAACTAAAATTGAGTTTTTAAAAATTTCACACGAAAAATTTTAATTTTGAAATTTTAAATACTTTCGCTGGTTTGTTAACTGTAACGTTTAATTGGCATTTTGTGCATTTTATTCTTTTTAAAAAAGTGATTTTTAGTGAGCCATATTTGAAAAATACCGCTAATTTTTTTTCTATTTTCCTCCATTAATTTAAAGAAATTTTTTTTTTTATTCCTGGTCATTTTTGCTGGAGGCGATGTGACCCACTTTACAAGTTTTCAGGTGGCAAGGTTGCTTACATTGCGAAACAATCTCACAACTGTTAGTGAAATTGTTCCAATCAACGCACAAAAATTCCAACTTTAATTTAAACATCAAAGTAAGTATGTGTTTCTTTAAGTATTTCGTACGAATTTCTTTGAAATGATTGATTAATAATTAATAAAAAAAACTCGTTCAAAATACGAAAATTCATCACTGATAACAGTAGTAAAAAATATTCAGCAAGTAGTCACGAGTAACATCATTTCACTTTCCTACTTTTACTAGCAAATTTTGTATTTTTAGAACTTGGTAATTTTTTTAGATTAAAAAAAGTATTTTTCTGGAAATTTTTAGTGCAATATGTTTGACTATATTGTCGAGTGGTAATAAGTAAGGAAATACATGGTTTTCGTTAACGATAGGTCCTGATTAAGGATAGTTTGCATTTTTACTACAGAAAAGACAAAAGGTAACTCGGACAATCCAGGTTTTTTTTTTAGCAAGACACGTTAAGATTATCAAAGAATTTTCTAAAAATGACAGTAAGCGTGAGTAGTCCTGGTTTTATTAGTGAAAAGATACATTTGCCTAAGGATAGTCAAGTATTTGCTGAGAATAGAGAATAGGTAACTAGTAATAGTCAAGGATTTTGCGAATCACCTACCCTCTACTCTCATCAAATACGTGCCCATCCCGAATCAGTTAGGCTACTTTTTTACTCCCACAAATATCCTCGACTATTCCTAGTTACTATTCTCTAATCAAACACGTGCTATTCTAAGTCAATTAGTTTTTATTTTGTGAAAGTAGAGGGCAATTGACTCGTCATTTACTATACGAATGTTTGGTTAGGAATAATCGAGAGTAAATAAATGATGAGAGAAGAGGGTGAATGACTAGCAATTGTGAGGGTGACTAAAGGCTGGTATACACGGTAAGGAAATCCTTTGAGGATTAACTGTGATTTTTTTTTCTATCTATCCATTTTTAAATAAAAATAATTCTTTATACGTTGGGAGATATTTTAATAAGTTTTGTAAATTACTATGTTCGATCCAGCCAGTTATATCCGAGTTTTTTTCGTCTGTTAAGCACATCCTTTGAGGATTTCCTTACCGTGTATACCAGCCTTAAGGGCTAGTCAAGCATTTCGTGAAAGTAAAAGGTAAATGAATGGGGATACCTAAGTATTTGGTGAGAGTACAGACATTAGTAGGGATAGAGACAGTGACGTATTGGATTAGGGTAAACATGTATTTCGCCAGGGAAAGCACTAAGGGTAGGTGTGGTTTGGTTTAGGATAAACAAGACACTAGAAGGATGCACAGTTTTAAAGAGCCAGAAATCATTATAAGTATTAAAAATTAATTGTTCAATCTTCCCAAAGGGAGCCGAATTCATTAGTTTGTCTAGGTTCAATCTGTATTGGGCGAGAATAGACAACGAGTGAAGACAGTAAATGAGAGGGTAAAGACTCAATTATGAATACTCACGTGTAAAAAACGCAAGGTTTTACTAAAAAGACAGGAACTTGGCAAATTAAATTTTATAGGAGAGAACGCACGTGATGTCTAGGATAATCAAGTTTTTACGAAAGACAAGGTAAGTCAGGATAGAAGTGGTCGAGATAATGATATTTTAGTAAAGAATAATAGAGAATTCTTTAGAGGTAGTCTGGCGCTTTCTATTAGAAAATAATGCTATTTTAATAAAATAAAGACTGGGTGACTATAGATCGTCACGTTTTTCACTAAAAATAAAAAAGCGAACGGGGATAGTCAAGGTTTCACAAAAGAAAGCTTACAAAATATTGTGTTAAAATAGATTTTTATTAGAGACAGGATATAAAATCGAGTTCTTCGCTAAAGAAAACGCGGGATAACCTGGGATAGTCAAGTTTTTGATAATAAGAAAAAGACAATGTGACTAAGTACATTTGTACATTTATCTTTTATTGAAGAAAACTGTATTTTTATTTTTAAAAAAATCAATAGAAATAAAGCTAAGTGCGTTTTTATTTAAAAAAACAACAGAACTGGGAATAGTTAAGTGCATTTTTATATTTGGGAGGAAAATATGGTTAGAGATAGATAGTCGAGTGTATTTTCAAGAAAATAACAGAACTAGAGATATTTGTGTTTTTTTCATTAAATAGACAACAGAACCAGGTACAGTTGTGCCTTTATTTAAAAAAGACAGAAGAACTAGAGACATATATTTGTGTATTTTTTCAAATAAAAAGTGCATTTAAGTGTCTCTAGTTCTGCTCTTTTTTAAAGACAAAAACACACAGTTCTATTGCCTTTTTTAAAATACACTTGCTCATTAACCCTAATTCCTTATTTGTGTATTTTTTCAAATAAAAAATAGTCAGAGGTAATCAAGTGTAACAATATAGTTGGGAGTAGTAAGTGTTTTTATTAAGGAAAAAAAAAACAGTCTAGAGATGTTATAAACACGCTGCCAATTTCCTTAAAAAATTTTGAATTGTTTAGAAAATACAATACGGTATTTTTCATTACACAACGGATTACATTATTGAAACTATTGTCATTTAAATGCCAAAAACCTGTTAATTTAATATTCAAAATTCATTTCGTTAAGTGGTTTTGCAGATAATTCTAAAAAATTACAATTTCCATTTTACAGGATGTCAATCACACAGGAATTATGATAGAAGAATTTGGTTGAGGATATTTTGGATTTTTTTTTCAAAGAAGAAAATAAAGTGTTATGAATCTTATAAATTTCACAGGTATTTATAAACATTTTTTAGAACAAAGATATAATAAAACTCGATTCTAAAAACACCATAAACACGTTTTGTACACTTTAATTCACTGTCCTTGTTTGTTTCTTGTTTCTTTTCTGTAGAAATTATCTGTCTACTCTTTATCTTTCAAGGTTGGAATTTCGTAAAGGTAAGGATATTTTTTGTAGAAAAAATTCGAAAAAAATGAAAAAAATATCAAATTTTTTTCCACGTTTCAGACATCTTTCTTAGATGATCCTCGATCGATTTCGGAACACGAATTGAATTTTTGTCAAGACAAACAGCCGGGTAACAACTATGCCGACGTGCAAAGCGGGTGCAGGATGTACTACAAATGTCTGCTTAACAACGACGGTAGGATGTTAAGTTACAAAATCGAATGCCCAAACGATACATACTTTAACGAAGAGAAACAACAATGCGAACAATACATAGCCCATTGTCAGAACGTTAACAATTACGAACTTAAGAGATTTCGTAGGCAGCAGCCCCCTAGTTATTCTTACCATAATCTTCCAAAAACCAATTTCTCGTGTATCGGTAAGAGTTTGGGTGGTTATTACGCGGATGCGGAAACAGATTGCCAGATGTTTCATATATGTACGCCCGGCGAAAACAATAGTGTCATCGATATTATGTTTCTATGTGGCAACGGCACGGTTTTCGATCAGAAAAAATTGGTTTGCGAACGTTACGGTTTGGTGGATTGTCAAGAATCAGCATCCTACTTGGACGAGGAGGAGGAGAGATTAAGAGAGGACGAGATACATAGAAAACTGGCTAACGTCGAAATCACTCGAATCAAAAGTTGAGTCGAAATTCCATTTGTTCCAGTTTCTTTTAGAATTTAAAAATGAAATTCTTAAAAAGTATGGGATAAAAATCACTCAATAAAAGAGGTAAATTTCAAAAAATGCAACTTTTCAGCTAATTTTTCTGTGATAATTTCAAGTACAATCAGTTTTTTTACCAGCAGAAAAAAATCAAAAAAATATATGAAATGTAATTAATATATTTGATCAATTTTAAAATATTTATTTTCAAATTAAAAAATATATTTATGATTTTTTTGGATTTTAATGTCGATTCGAAATGTAAATATGCAAAATGTTTTTAATGATTTTTGTATAAAATGTTTATTTCGTGTTGAAATTTTATTAAAAGTTTATAATTAGCATAAATTTTGCGTTATTTGTTATAAAACGAATTAAATTGGACCAAAATGCGTCTTCCGATAACAAAGGGTCGAGTGAAGATTTCCACGGTTTCGTATACTTCAGCCTACTCGCTCCTCGATTTTACTACAGTGTGTTTAATGTACTAAGAATTACAGCTTCTTTGTAGATAGTAAGAACATTTTTGTCCATCTCGAGCACTCGTACCGTACATTCTTGGATAAATTCAGAAGATGTTGGCACTTATTATCCTTTGAAAATGGGAGGAGGAACCTTATACGCCCTCCAGTAATCTCCTTTCGTGTGTTCTCGAACGAGCATTTAAATTCTTCCTCCTCCTCCGAGAAAATTTCTAATCCGATTGTCAGCTTCGAGGAGGAAACTCGCAACAACGAATAATACTCGAGCTTTAATAAAAGTTTGATTTATTCCTTTTTATACGCGCTTCGCAGCCATTTTGGATGTTGCGGAGTCCAGATGGCGGCCAAGACGATCTTACTATTTTCTTCCGGTTTCTCTCTAGACCACGACAGAGAATGATTACAAAATGAAAAAAATCCATTGGCATTTCCTAAAATCAAAAAACACACGTAAACATTTAACTCCGCTTTTAAGTTTTGAAAATATTTAATGCAATTTTTGGATGTTTTTATAATTCTAAAAAGCAATTTGTCGTTTTTAAATCAGATTTCTGGATTTTATCTTAACGAGAGAAAAGACTGTTGGATGTTTAAAAAATTTTATATTAAAAATAATTACGTAAATATTTATCAAGTTTCGAGTACGATCAAAGGGCATATCTAAATCTAACATAGCTCATTTAAATAATTTTGGTCTTTTATATTTTATAGCGCTAAGAAAATGTAAAAGACTCACCTGTATAAAACCGTGGGCTTATTCGATTATGCCGACATTCGGTTAAAGTCTGTAAACATCTAATATAATCGATGGAAAATTTCAATATCTGCAATTTGGAAATTTTTTTCGCTCCCGAATTAACCACGCGAGACTTGGTTAGGATTTTTTTAAGCCGGTCGAATGCCAAATTTATTAATTTTACGCGTTTCCTTTCTCTTTCGTTAGCTTTTAATCTTTGTTTTTGTCGAATTTTCGGCAATTTTTCAAATTTAAATTCGAAACTTCCATCGATTTTACTGGTATTTTCCATAAAACCGTCCGCCACCGCGGTAAATATATCGAACGAACTAAGCCAAGCGTTTTTGTACCAACAAAACTTTAAACGGTTACTAAATACGTTAAATTACAAATTATTGGCTAGCGGCGTCGACGCGTCATCGATAATTTAAATATCGACCAATCGGAAATAAATAATTGTTGGAGAAGAAAATCTTCAAAAACGATGAATTTTATTTGAAAATCGAAATACTTAAATTGCGTTGTAATGGCTAATTTTTTAAACGTGTGTCTAGAAAACTAATTCCTTAGGCTAATCCTATACAAATAAAAGAGTTGTTAAAAATTAGTTTTGCGCATTTCTTTACTTCATTCGTTTTTAAAACTCTATACGCATTTTTCTTTTTCTCTTTTATATTTTATCCAATGTTTATTATATTAAATTCGATTAAAAAATCCATATTTTAATACAATATGTTTAGATAAAAATTAAGTTTTCGGATTTTTAAATTGGAATTATTAACTTTTTTAATTTTCTCTTCTTATATTTAAAAATTTATTTTTAAATAATTAGTTTTTTGGAGAATATGAGAATTTTTTTCAATTTATTTGAAATTACAAAAAGGTTTTAGAATTTTTTAGGTAATTTTGTCTTTAAACACTGATATGAAATTTATTATTATTTACATTAAAATATTTTTTAAAATTTCATTTAGACATATATATACATTTTTTAGATTTTAAAATATTCAAAATTTAATAAATGTAGATTAAATTAAATATTTCAAAATGAAAATCTATCGTAATTTTTGAATAAAATTTTCAAAAAGTAGCAAAAAAACATTTATATACGCGCTTGAAAAATAAAAGAAAAAATTCATTAACAAAGTAAGTTTTAAAAATTGTTTTTATTTTTAAAAAATATTTATAAAATCTTTTAGTTTTCTAAAATTTTCATAAAATCATATTGCCTTTTTTGTAAATTATATAATTGCGTTTATAAAGAAAGAAAGAAACGGCATTAGTTTTATTCTTTCTGGAATCGTTTGTCCAGGTGTTTAGTGGACAGCTGCGGCTGGGTTTTGGTGAGAAATCTCCGCTTTTTGAAACGGACTAAATTTTTCGAGTGGATTTAAGCGTAAAATCCACTCGAAAAACTTATTTGCCCCGATTCAAAAAACGAGGATTTACCAGCGAAAGAAATCTGCTAATCTTTTCCATCTCTAAGGACGGAATTTACTTTATTTTCAGCGGCCCAATTTGAAAAGGGTAACGCGTTTAGAAAAAATTTACTCCTAAGAAATGTTAGATTTACGATTTTTAAAAATTTCGTTCGTAACTTTAAAAAACGGATGGATATTTGTATATAAAGATTTTCTTTTTAGAAAAAAGTTTATAAATAAAAAATAAGAGAAAGCAAAAACTTTCAATAAATTTCCTATGCCAAATTTGGAAAACCTTTTTGCACTATTTTTAGAAAACTTATTTTAAAAATCGAATGGACGCAAATTTAAGAAATTTTTCAAAATTCAAATTTAAAAATCGTTTAATTCGAATTCAAATAATGTAATTTACATCCATTCGATGCGGTGCCTCCATCTACTGGAAAGAAACGATATAAATTACAATTTAAAAATTAATAAAATAAATAAATAAATATTTAATTAAAATATTCTAATTGCGGTAGTTTTATTCTAAATAACAGTAAAATTTTTATAAAAACTAAAAATTCCCGTATATTACATTATTATTAGTCTACAAAGAGCAATTTAAAATGTTAAAAATTGTCCATGTTTCATTTAAAATGACCTCGGTTAAATTTAAAAGGATGAACGATTCGGTTGTTTAACAATGAACCGCATTTGCAGTGCCTCTTCGTTGTTAAATACGTGGATGAGGCACTTGGTACAATTGTTATCGTTGAAATAAATTGCAGCATTCAAAATAAAACGGGTAAACGTAAGGATATACGTCCGTAACCGTGCGAGAGAATTTAGGGTATGTAGCGCTAATAAGGAAGTATAAAGTAATAAAGGGAGGTTACGGCTGTTATCAAATAATAAAATGTAAGATGTACAGTACTGTACAGCATTACGAGGTAAAGAATGACATAATTCTAAGTAAAATTAATATGTGACGAAATATGAAATATAGGTAAAGGTAAGGTATAGAATGAAATGATAAAAGGGGTATTAGTCTCTTAATATAGCTAGTAAAAATATTGGGTGTAAGGTAGGTGAGACGTAAAATAAAATAGTATGATTATAAATGTAAGTAATTTAACAATAAAATGAAATGTAATTAGCCTATATAGTAATGTAAGTATAGGGGCTAAGTTATATAGGCAATTTAAGATTGATATTGCGTATAGAGTAGATGCTAGGTATAGGATGTATAGAGTATGCAACGAGTGCGTGTATTTTACATACATTCCTACGTCAGCGTATATATACATCCCTGTATATATATTTAGCTAGAGTTAACGTGGTCAATCCAATGACGTTTCAGGTAGCTTACATTGCGTACGGATAGGGGTGTTGGTTTTTCCAGACGTGCACTGCGGGCGAGCCGTTTACAGGGCGTCAAACTCCGTATCTAGAAAGAAGTATGAGTACTCAAACTCCTCAAGTTCCGCCCGAATTAACCGATTTATTATTAGAATTTACAGTTAATGTTTTAGTAGAGAAACCTACAGATGTTTTACAATATGCTGCAAATTATTTCAATCAGTTACTAGCGAACAGGAGAGAGAATGTTGGGCATCAAGTATTTATCACTGTTACCGATTCTGTCGACGAAGATGATATCGAAGATGAACCTATGCCGAGTGAGTGCTATTTTTAATTCAATTTTTTTACAAATTTATGTATAATTTACAGTACAATCTGATGTATTTTTGGAAATTTTATGTTTTACTTCCTATCCATGCAAATTTGGATAATTGTTTACGAATTTTTTCCGTAATTTTACTATTGTTTTATATACAATTTGTGTGTTTAGATACGCGGAAAATATGCTTATCGTGTCGAATCGTTTGTTCTTAATTTGTAAAAAATAAATCTTACGTATCGCATTGTGGCTTTTTTAATTTAATTACATTTTTTAGATTTATTTTTAAGTTTTAATGGTAAGATTACATAGGAACTTATACCTCCGATATCTCGGCTAATCGATTACTTTCAACGATGGAGTAGAAAGTGTTGGGAACATTATTCATCCATTACTTGCACGAAAATTTAATAATACACGAAATCTGATGTTTTTATATCGATTAAATGCGGTTATAAAGATAATTCGTTAATTAAACCTTAAATTGTATTGATCGACGTGCAAAAAGTTTGATAAAATGTGTGTTTAATAGCATTAGTAGAGATGTATAAGTACGATACACCCATTCGTAAATTCATACATACAAACTATTCATATCCTTAAATACGAAGAGAGAAATGTACCCTTAGTATTTGAATATACTGTACGTATACACGTTTGTCCTTTATGTATCTCCTCTAAATGCTTCAATATGGATGTTTACACATTTCAAACGTGCAATTTATAGCTATATGCATACGTATGAATTTGTATAAAATATTAAAACACTGGGATCGGTAAAAAATTCTAAAAATTAAAATAATTTCTAGATTAAAAGCAAGTAAAACTACTTTCTCTTATCCGACTTGGAGTGATTTATTTTAGCAGACAAACAAATAACGTAGAAATACTAAACTTTAACTTTAATAAAATAGTTTACATCATCGTCAATCTATCTGTCTGCCGCCCCATTCTTCGATTCTTAAAAATATAGACTATTATAAATAATTTATGTAAGATATATGCTAACACAACTGCTTAATGATCGCGCTCATAAATCGTATAGATTACAGGCCTATACACAGCACTGTCTGCTCTTAAGACTCACATATTAACTGCTGTCAATTCATATGTATGACTTTGTAGGTGTGCATATAAGACTGTACGTAGGTTACATAGCACATATATTGAAAATAAACAGGAAAATAATTTAAAATTCAAACGAACGAACCAATCAGCTTTCACTTTTCATTTTGCGCTCGATTGCATTTTCATTTTTGTAAAACGAACATTGTTTCCCGTCTTTTTATTCCTTAATTTTTTCCTCATTGGTTTATCAGTAATTGCCCTACTTAATCGAAACCAGAAGCGATAGTCCAGTATCAGCTTTATCATTGTGCATTGCGTTACACATTCGAACGATCACATGAAGCGCATTTGCTGCTGCTCCTCCGACGGGGATTGTTGTTTGAAGGGTGTTATCATGAAAAGGTTATTTAAGAGACACGCTAGACGTTACGAACTCGATCACAGTTGCCTTTACGAAAATAAAATCAACGATTATGTTAATGGAAATGAAGTGCAACAACAAGAATCAGGTAGTGTTTCTATACTAAAATGATTTATATACTCGCGGCAGACATGTAAGAAAAGTTAAAGGTACTTTTATGTTCTTTACAGTTACAACGGTATAATGTAGCTGTTATAGTTTACATTATAACATATTATAAAGTTATGCTGTTTATGTAGATGACGATTGATAGATTATTTTCTACTTTTTAAAGTATTTTTCTTCTTCGTAAGATTATAAAATCTTAATTTAGCAATTTTAGTTTATACTGCAACAGTCATAATATAACAGAACATTTTGCCGACAAAACCATGTACTATACAGTAACTGGGAGACAGATAAAGGCCGTTAAATGACACGCTTCTTAGTTTTTCTTCCGATCAACTTTGCTCTCTCTACTGATTTAACAGTATAATATCATATTATAATAAATAGTATTACAGTTATATTGTTTTAATTTAAACTGTTTTACTGAAAAAATAAGTTTTTTCACTTTTACTTATGCACTTACGTAAGTAAAATAAAAGTGTTAAGTAACCTACTTTTCTTTCGAGGCATTTCTACGCCCTTTGCAGTAATAAAAAGATAGTTTAAGGCATATAATGTATAGTGTAGCAGTTATACAGTACAGTAGTTAAATTATTTCCTTAAAAAATTATTGATTTACGTACAAAAAGTTTTGTACTGTACATGTATCTGCTGCTATTTTAGCAGCAGATACATGTACAGTACAAAACACATCTTTACCGTCATTATTATCATTATCATCATTTACTGCTGTATTTAAAACTATTGTAATAACATTTATAGTATATTATAGTAAAATATATTTATTTTGACACAATTTATAATTATATTTAAAAATTTTATTTGTATAAAGTTTTGAACATAAATTATGCCAAATATGTATAACCTGCCCACACATTAGCCTATATTTTATAAAAAAAAAATCAATTAAAAAATAATAAAATATAACTTTTCTTTAATCTTTAAATTATATTTTAAATGAATAAAACTAATTAAAAATTCAAAATTACTATTTAAAACTATTGTGATAAGTGCTATTAAATTTAAAATGTCCTCTCTTTTCTTAGATTTATATTTATGTATTTTTTAAAATTTTAATTAACTAAATTTCATTTGAAGTTTTAATATAGAAAATAGGATTTAAAATTATTGTTTAAAAGTGCATTTTAACTTAAATTTCATAGTTTTATCTCAGTTACTATGAAACTTAAGAATGCTGGAAGAGAGCTCAAGGTTATTTATTTATTTATTTTTTTTAATGTACAAAGGTTAAAAAGTTATGTTAATATTTAATTAACGAATATATATCAGTGATAAATTTAAATATTTTTAAAAATTAATTAAATTTTACTGTAAGCAGCATTTACTGTATTCGCCAACGGCTCTATCAATATTATGAATAGTACACCTTATATACGATATTATGATTTTAAAATAATTTATATTTATTAAATTTATTTCCTTTATAATGTTTTAAATATATTAAATAAGTTAACTTTTAGTTAAGTTTCAATGGTAAAAACGTAATTCGCAAATTTTTTAAATAGATAAATTAAAAAACTGTATACAGTTTTTTAATTTAAGTTTTGTAGGCGTTTATTGTTCTTTAATAAACAATAAGCATGTATAAATTTATATAAAAATCTTATTAAATTCCATGCATATTTTGTGCACATTTTTGCTTAGAGGTTTATACAGATTTGTACAGGTTTTTGTATAAATCACAGTTTAAGTACAGCCCCACAAAGTATATAAGCACAGATTTCTGTATAACTTATAGATTATTTATCTAAAGTTTTTCAATCAAACTAACTATTTTATATTAAAAATGTTTTTACAAACCAACTGCATTTTTTCATACCAACTTTTATAACTTACATTTTTATGAAAAATTACATATTTCTATGTGAATAAAAGCATTCAAAATACACAAAAATTTTATAAATTTATATTAAATACTTTCAGTAAATTACAAATTAATTTTATTATTTTAATTATAAAAATATATTTCAAAATTAAAGAAAAATGTGAAGAAATATAATTTCAAAAATTCAAAATTTGTTTACGGTTTTTTATTTTTAAAATTAATTATTAATTAAATTCGTACGCTGTTTTACATGTATTTATCTAGAATCATAAAGCGTGCGATAGAATAATTATTTTTCGCGATAACAACTCGACGTTTACGAATGATCAACAGAGTACAGTGCGAATTTATAATAAATATCCAGAGCAATTTAATCTATTGTTATTATATTACGATATTTTGCGAAAATCTCATAAAAGAGCTTCGGCAGCAGAAATGTAAAAATTGTGTGGAACATTCCTAAAAACATTTTTAAAAAAGGCTTAAAATTTGCAAACTATTACAAAAGGAGATGGAAAGTGGAAATATGCGGAAAAGGCCTCAAAATTCTTAACAAAAAACGTCTTACAAATTTATATTATTTTATTCTTTTTGACATTTTATTATTTCCTAACGATATTTACAAGAAAAAAATTCGATTTTTTATATTTATTTATTAACATTTTTCATTCAAACTTTCAGATAAATTATGTAAATTTTTCGACGTTTATGACTCGAACCAACGCATTTTTGGAGATAAAAGTTTACTTATTTATAAAAAAAAATTAAATTTTCTATCAAGTTTTTCAACACGGAATGACTTTTATTTTTTTTTTACCAATGTCAATACTTAATTTCGAATGTTGCAAAATAATTTTGCAACTTTAAGAATTATAAAATTTCTTGATTGCGCTACGATTGCAAGATTATTAAACTTATGTTTTCTAGAAAATCGAACGTAAATTTAAGTTTTTGTATCCTTCTACAATGAAATTGAAAGGGTTCCAACCGCCAATAAAAATTCGCAATTCCACAATAAAATCTGTTATCTAGCGATGTATGAATGTGCCAATGCAGACGAGGTAATGGAAACAGTGAAACATAAACTAAAGCTAGGATCCAACATATAAATGAAAATACAATTGTTAAATTAAAAGCAAAATGTTCTGTCATCGCTGCACAAAAACAACTTTTAAGTGGCATTGTTTTAATTTTTAGTTGTAGTTCGGTTTTGCCCGACATTTTTTATTAATGCCAAATAAGTTCTATTCTACAAATACGCATTTTGTTTTGGAATACAATTTTTACTTCTTAGCATCAAATTAGGTTTCTTCATTTTTTACATATATTTAAAAATATCTAAAATATATTTTGAAAATGGGAAGTTAGGAAATCATTAGTTAAATTCTAAACAACTTTTTCTTCTAATTATAATGAAAAATTATAAACGATGTAATAGATAAAAGGGTTTTTTAGAATATTTCTTAATTTTTTTTAAATTATTAAATCCATAAATTCTCTCGCGCTTTCGTGTGTTTTGTTTCGATAACAAAAGTTTTAAAAAATACATATTTTTATTTTTGGAGGATGTAAAACAACTTATAACAATAAAAATATATACAGAAATTTTTTAAATCTCGATAATGCAGGGAGGACGAAGGAAAGGACGAAGTTTTGTAAGGTGTGATTCAAATAAATAATGGAAAACAAACAAAAAGTGACCTAGAAATTGAAAAAATAATAATGAAAACTCGTATTCAAAGTATGAACTAGTTCTTTGTAAGAAAAATTCTGAAGGAAATTTTTGTGTGTTTCGCATCATTTTTTAGATTTTACCTGGGTTTTTGTTTTAAATATTTCACATAACTTTATAGACTTTTAAATTGGTTTATTTGGATGTTTTATCTCGATTAAAACTTTAAAAATTTAGTAATTACATATTTTAATCAATAAAATTTTCAAAATTGTTTTTCATTAAACGTAATTATTTCTAATCAATTTTTTGGAAATTAATTCATTTTATTTACATAATTCTGTTACTAAAACATCTAAAAAACATTATTAAACACCCCAAATATGATGATAAATAATTTTATTACAAAAATACAATTTTATGAAATTGTTTGCTAATTCTTGCATTTTAAAAAAAAATTAATATCTGTTCTCTTTAAATATTAATTTAATTTTTAATAATAAATAAGACATTTACATAAATATTTATATAATAATATAATTTTAGAACTAATTTCTAAAATTAACCACCTGTAATTAATAGAATTAAGCGCGAAACTGATATAAATGTAAAATAATTCTGCAATAAAAAGTGCATATTATAAAAGAATTTCTTAGAAAATGTATTTTAAAAGGCTACAACGTTAGTTTGTAAGGTGTTAAATCCCATTTAACACAATGGTGTCAGTTATGCAATTTGTTTGTCGAGCGAGACTCCAAAATTGTTACAACAAATCTAGGTTTACATCTAAAAATATTTTCATTAAGTTTAATACGAGTTATTTATTTACAGAATAATAATTTTTTTAATACTTTATCGCATTAGCGTATCAAAAACAATTCTTTTTAATTTAGTTTATATTTGTTTTTTGAATTTGCAATTTATAAACCCGAAACCTCTCACATTTTCATTTTTTATTGTTTGCGAATTTTTTGAGTTTAAAAATGAAAATAAAAAGTTCCAAATAATTTTGAGTTTATTTGTATTATTTAAGCGCAAAACCTTCCTTTTATTTCATTTTGAAACACAAAATTCTTTATTAATTTTTTAAAATTTACGCAAGTTTTTTGGAAGAAAACTAATACCTGTTGAAATTATAACCAAATTTTATGACAAGTTAATTAGCGAAAGACCCGCTTTTAACGTCAATAAAAACTTTAAGCTATTTTGACGTTATACAATATTTATTTTTCTAGAAACGTTATCGCGTGTACTTTACAAGTTGGTGTACTTAAGTCCCTACAACATTCCGATAAATGTAAACTCTCGACATTTATAAATCACGTAGGATTATAAATAGCAGAAGCTATTAAATGTGAGTTGAAATTGTTTTTAATTACTATATTACACAATGTTAATTAGTAAACAGTCAGCAAAATTGATAGACAATTCCAAATTATCATCCCTAATCTATTGGTAGGTGTATAGTTTCTTTGTTTAGTTAACATTTGATAAACACAAGGTGATATGAAATTTTTTCGTAGGCAACCGTTGGAATTTTTTTGCAGTTGTCCATTAGGGACCGTTCGAATATTACGTCAGCAATTTATGGAGAAGGGGAATTCGTTTGTATCCGACTATGGCCGACGATAGGAGAGGGAGGGCGTGTCTTCGATGACGTGAGATTGCACGGGTCGTTACAAAATTGTCTGAAAATAATTCGTATGTTTGCGAATGGTTTTAACTGGCCTGATGACGTAATTAGGGGCTCCCAATTACGTCATCGAGTCTAGGAGTAATTTGATTTTGCTTAGGGGAAAGGGAGATGAAAAAGGACAACTTTTTGCTGTTATAATACTTGAACGGCTCATAGTTTTTGTTTATTTTATTTTTTTTACATGTAGTTTATCCTAGTTAAATAGATAGTGCCGCTACTTTGTATAGACACATTTTCCTTTAAATGTAAGTAGGTTAAATATACATAGCTGAGCTTATATTTTATTTAACTGTTTTTATTTATAATGTGTGTGTTTGTAATTTAATTCTGTAATTTTTTTTCATTTGAAATTTGTGTTTTGTATTTGAAGTTTACACGCGTTTCGGTGTTCTAACATTAATTATATTTAGAATAATTAACTGTGTTTCTAAATTATTAAACTCGGCAGTTATTTTAATGCATTTTTTATATATAAAAATGTAATTTAAAAAAAATCTTTTATCCGAGCCAACTTTCGTCCATTGACCTCTATCTGTATTTGGCTGTTATTAAGTAAGTGGTACACACGTTTCCAGTATGTAACTCTTGAGAATTTCAACATTAAAAAATATATATATTTATACGTTGTATAAATGGATTAACACAATTCTTTTCTCAATATTTTTCAAGAATAATTTAGATAAAAATAATGTCTTTCGTGCATTTTGATTTAAAATATAATAGGCCTGTATTATGTGTTTTGTACTGATTTAATCTATAAATAGTAAAAAATCGATAAATTAATCTATATGTACTTACGTTTGTATGCTTCTGCTTAATTCTTTACGTTGTCAATTAGAATGCTGTTAAAATACTATTGTATAAGTTATTACAGGTTAAATAATTTGCAGGCGTATATAGGGCCATCTAAATTTGAATCCTATGCCAAAGTTTTGATGTGAAGTTTAAACATGGCTCATTCTACTGAGTGATATGAGGTTTCAACATAAGTAATTTTATTGCAGCGGTCAGATGCAGACTAGCAACCCCGGGAATTTTTCACGCCTGATTTATGTTTAAGGACTTCCTCCGACTCGTGATGAGTGTGGATAAAAGGCAAAAAGAGTAAAAAAAAAATTGCTTTATTGCAATGGTAAAATTCTAAATATAAGTTTCTGCTAAATTGATATGAAGTTTGAATATAAACGATCAATTATTTATTGCGACATCGTCACAATGCTGGGCTGCAATGTTTAATTTAAAATACAGTAGAACCTCCATTATCCGGACCTCCATTATCCGGATTTTCGATTATCCGGATTGTTCAAAATAAACAAAAATTTTTTGGATTTGCTGATTTGCACTTGGCGAATTACGATACTGTTTATGTACGTGATGGAATGCATAACTTTTTTTGTTTCAACAACGTCTCACCCAGCACAGTGGTCGTAAACTCTTAAATATATTTTACGTCGTAATAAAAATATAACTTGACATACGTATTTATAAATAATTTATATTCAAATTACATCATTTCTATGACCAAGGGCGGCGTAAGGCATGGGCAACGTGGGCCACCGCCTATGCCTCACGGTCCGAAGGGCCTCGCGTTTCGAAGGTTTATCCATTACTTAAAAACCGCGAACGCGACGAAAAAATTTTACTCGTCATAAAACGATAAATAGTTTGTCAAATTTTTATTCATAAAAATGCAGTTTCAACTGCTTTTTATTTTATAAAATCCGTCTTCTTGCGCCATCAGAGGGCCTTTTAAACAATAAGTAGTCTTTGTTTCTTGACAATTTGATCACGATTTAAATACAGTATTTATTTTTAATATTACCGATATGTCATCGAAAAGAAAACGTGTTGTATTATCATTAAAAGACAAATTAAAGTATCTGTTTCGATTATCCGGATTTTTCCTTATCCGGACTACCTTCATCCCCAATTAGTCCGGATAATCGAGGTTCTACTGTATATGCTTTCCCCCGAAATTAGTGTCTTGCATTCAATAGTGTCTTCTTCCGTCAGCCATGGACACCCCTCGGGAAAATTTTTGAATCGAAATAACATGGCTTCTGGTTTGCCTCATCATATATTGTTAATCGGAACCTCCTACCCCTAAGGTTTCCATATCTAGTCTTGATTTTCATTTATCTAACACCGTTGTCGAGATTAGCCTACTGTTCTAGCCGTCGAGAATAAACCAGACAATGCAACCCCAGCAAGTTTCGTGGGCAGCAAGTGCTGAATATATTGGGCTCCATCCCTCACTATCTGGCTCCCCCATTGTGGTGTTGACCGAACCAATCGCGTGCATGATTTAACAGGCCCTCTTATGGTGTTCTTCGGGTGGAACGTCAAAATGAAAAGTATAGGATCCAAACCATATCTTCTCATTACATTGCCGATAGTTTCAAACATAGATTATCTTGTTGTATTGTTATAAAGTAGAATTCAAATATGGATCATTTTGTCATATTGAGCCTTCGTATATAAAATCATTCCGTTGCATTTGGTACGAGACTTAAATCTTGAGACATAGAAACTATTTTTGTACTGTGAAGTGTTCGTATCGAAAAAGATTTATTTTCGTATCCGAACAAAATTTTTTGCAGGTCCCAACTCTTATTTAGACAAGTCCCTTGTTTTCCTTTCACTCGCGAGACATATACAGAGTTTCTTCGCACGAAACAGGTTCCGTCACAAATTCTACTTTTTGGTGATAACAAAATGTGATGGTACAAAAGCTTTACAATCACAGATCGCGTTTTTAACCTAATATTAACCTACTTATAACTAAAATATTAGAATATATGTATAGATAGAAGAGGGAAAAGGAAGAAATCTTAGGACAGGGATACCCAATGGCCTCGAATGTTCTTTTGATGCTTCCATTTGAATCCAATCCTTCTCATCTGAGCCAGTTTTTTTTTCTTTGCCGAACCATTCATTAAGTGTCTACGATGAGGGATGTTTTCAGAGAAGTCATCCCTATAATACTTAATATAAATATAAAGACATTATTCATTTCTATCTCTAATACCACTTTCTCAAACCCTCTTCGTCTGCTGAAAATGATCAATGGCCTTCCTTCTACATTTCTTGTCTCTCCGGTATCCAGCCCAAGTTTTTCCTCTATTGTCTTTTCTATCCCACCCTAGCTGGGAAGGGTTTGGTCCGAAATTCTCGTAATAAGGAAACAAAACATGTGCAAGAACAAAGGGACAGTAAAAGATTAGAATAAAATACGATAAAAATTTATACAATATATGGCATACTGCCACAGTACCTTTTTTCTATACATACACAAAAAATAACCCATAAATATCTTAATTATTGCAATTTATGAGATTATGCAATCAAAGATGAAAACTTTCATTTTGTAATCATATGATAAAATGCAAAATTTAGTATCCATTAATCAAGGTTATGAGAAAATATTTGTTTGATAATATGTTTTGATAAATCTAAGTTTATATTTTTAATTTGTGGTGTTTTTTATTGTAAAAAATTCTTTTCTTTCCTTTTAGATATTGCAAATAAATACACAAGAAGAAAATCAGGTAATATTAGTTTTTTAGTTTTTTAAATACAGGGTGCCCAAAAGTCAGTTGTCTGAGATGCTAAAAAATAAACTTGGTTAACTGACTTTTGGACAATTTTGTATTACTTATTTTAAAAATATTTATACATTGTTACAGTATATTAAAAATTGGAATTTTTAAAGTGAATTTTAGTGTTCATTATGAATATAATTAATTAAAAAACTAAATTTGCCAATAAATCAAGCAGGATTTGCCAACTAATCAGGTCACTTTCGACTTCTGAACATTAAAAGAGAGGTAACCAGCAAAATCTGTTAGAAATTGTTTGACTGTTGATAATAGATATGAAATATAATATCAAATTTAAATTATTAACGAAGGAATTTGGGAAATCCCTGTTTTCTCAAGTGTTAGCAAAATGTGCTATAACAAAGCAGCATTTAAAGATGTAATGTTAGCTGGTATCTTAATACCTGTTTAGAGTCCAATTGTAGAGGTAAAATGGAAAGCCTAAGGCTACTTAAAAATACAGAAGCTTTTCAACATTCATTTTGATGCTTGCCACAGAGTGGTGGTGTTTGTACAAGTTAGTACAAACACCACCACTCTGTGGCAAGCATCAAAGGGATGAGGTATTGAAAATAAAAAGCATTGTTTAAATTAGTGCTGCAAAATGCATCAGACTATAACAGGATGATACATTTTCTGTATACTTAATATTAGATTTGTATTATATGTTACATTTTTAGCGGTATGACTAAAGTCAATACACGAGGCAGAATTGGTGTGGCTTTGATTCTACCTAGTTGCAATGTCCACCTCGACCTCGTGTCCTGTGTCTTTTGTTCCGTCTGTGAGGATTAACCGAGACCCTGATCCGGGTGAATAATTTACTTTATTTGGATCGGTTACGCAATATTTACAGTAGTACCGAGATATAATACAAATCCAAGATCGACGATGCTGTCGACTCCAAAAGGTCAGCATAGAATGAAAAAGTGTCTCTCTCTGTTGGAGTCCAGGAGTAAAAGTGAGGTCATAGGGCAAAGGTTACATGGTGGTACCCTCTGCCCTACACATTGTTGTGACCTTACAGCTTATAATTGTAGACAAGGCTGAACTTGTAGCCCTAAGCTTGAACATGTAAGATGCTCTTCTCCTCCACCAAATAATTAGTGTAAAAGTAGGAGGCATTAAGTTTTAGGCTAATAACTTATGGCTGTAATCTGCAGCTTGTTTGGGCTTGTGCAAATCCAGCCCCAATTGTACATTTACTGTAAACCACTTTAAAATATTAGCTTCAAGTTTCCAGTATCATAAAATTTTGTTTTATTTCCTTGCCATCCACTTAAGTTAATATTTATAGATTCAGCTACAAATATTGCCAGGATATCCTGTTACACATTAGAATACTCATTTTAATGACTTAAAAATATTTTCTTTTTATCTCTTCAGATATTTCATGTACTAAAGAGATTCAGAAACAATTTTATTCATTTATATTTATTTGTATTTTAGAATAAATAATAAAATATTTATTTTATAACAAATTTTTTATCATGAAGCTATTTGTTCTTATCTTTAAATTATTAAGCACTCTGTTACAATAGTAATGGAGGTTTTTAACAAAAATTGTAACAAAAACAGAAGAGAGTTATTAAACAATGATATATATATATATAAAATATTTGAAATTTTGAAGATATGAAACTTAGATGGCAAAATCATTCTTACTTGGTCCGAGGGACATTACCTCATTTTTTGCTAAATTATAAAATTTTTATTTTATTTTATAAATTAATTGATTAATGATATTTTAGAACTCTATTTAATAATAAAATAAATAACTCTTTCTGAATTGATGTAAGAGTAATTTTTGTAAAAGGATCAAAAAATTTGCTGCCATTATTGAAAAATTTTAAATATACATTATATTTAAATATAATTTTTATATATAACATTCAGTTTTAATATAGAATGCAATTTTAATAATTAAATAAGTAGATATATGGAATTTATTCAAGAAATGAGGTAACATCTTGCAAACCAGGTATATGCAAATTTACATTCTATGAAAAATTGCAATTACAAAAGATGTACTTCTACTTTAAATATAATACATAATAATTATTTTACAGATATTTGTTTCTATTTTTGTTATAGATTATCTGGTAGACATGCATACATTGCTTTACAAAATTTTCTACATACTATAGTAAAGCAACATAATAATTTAGAGAGGAAAACCAATAGTAACAAGATAAAAAACATCTCACTCAGTATAAAGTAAATAATTTATTAAGAAGAAAAAATATATTTCCTTTAGGACTATACATATAAATTGAGTCCGTCTTCATTTGTCCTTTCACACGCTTGGCAGAGGCAATAACCAATTTACGGCGATACCGACCTTTTATTTGAGGCTACATGTTCGCCGTCCAATGTAAATGAGTTGAAAAGTCCTCTAGCGGTGGCCAGTACTATTATTAAATAAATAAATATATTAAAAATAAATTGCCAGGACGAATTCACAAGAAAGGTATAGTCCTAAAGGAAATATATTTTTTCTTGTGAATTCGTCCTGGCAATTTACTTTTAATATAAATAATTTATTGTTTACTAAGAATAAAATCAATAAATTCATAATTTATTTTTAAGATAATTACATAAATATTGAAGAATCCTTCACTTATACGTGCTTGAAGATATATTTGCAAAAATGTCTTTAGGCTCTGTATACTATATACTGTATATAACTTTATATATTTTCATTAAAGCATATTATTTTATATAAACATTAATACATTATATTATAGAATAGGTTTGAAATTGCTATTTATAGATATTAAAGCCAACTATCACAAAAAATATGTAGTTATTATTGATTTTTCTAAGTGCTGCAGACATAGGGATGGATTATGAACCTCAATAAATCAAAATATAAATTATGTAGCATGCAATAAAACCTCAATTGAACGTTAATGTTTAAGACAAACGAGTGATGTGAATAAGAGAGACATTTTTTATTATTATTTTGTATTAAAGAGTATATTATTTGATTATGTGTAAACATAATTAACGAATATGTGTATGATTATATGGTAAAAGAATTTATAGTTTTTGATGTTAAGATGCAATAATTGATTTGATGGAAAATTAGGATAAAAAAAAACAAAATCGAGACAATATGGTAGCATATATTGCAAAGTATCTCCGTTTTGTATTAGTCTTTTAATTAATATGCAACAAGTATTTGAAGTCTTTTTAGAGATTTTAAAGATTTTTTTCTTTTGGAATTTTAATGCATACAATTATATAATGTAGTACATGAAACGAAAATTAAGAAATAAGTAAGTTTTTATAATTTTTTTGAAATTTTAATGCATTCATGCTATATTTTTATATTACAGAATTAAAAAACAATCATTGAATTTATAGATAATCAATAGAAAAATAATAGTTTCAATACAATATTTTATTATTTTTATTTTATTTTCAGAAATTAAAATAAATTATTTCAATAATTTGAAATGATTAAATTTATTTAATTGAATGCAATTACTTTTTTTATTGATTAGAATATAATCATTTTAATTTAATAANTATAAATTGAGTCCGTCTTCATTTGTCCTTTCACACGCTTGGCAGAGGCAATAACCAATTTACGGCGATACCGACCTTTTATTTGAGGCTACATGTTCGCCGTCCAATGTAAATGAGTTGAAAAGTCCTCTAGCGGTGGCCAGTACTATTATTAAATAAATAAATATATTAAAAATAAATTGCCAGGACGAATTCACAAGAAAGGTATAGTCCTAAAGGAAATATATTTTTTCTTGTGAATTCGTCCTGGCAATTTACTTTTAATATAAATAATTTATTGTTTACTAAGAATAAAATCAATAAATTCATAATTTATTTTTAAGATAATTACATAAATATTGAAGAATCCTTCACTTATACGTGCTTGAAGATATATTTGCAAAAATGTCTTTAGGCTCTGTATACTATATACTGTATATAACTTTATATATTTTCATTAAAGCATATTATTTTATATAAACATTAATACATTATATTATAGAATAGGTTTGAAATTGCTATTTATAGATATTAAAGCCAACTATCACAAAAAATATGTAGTTATTATTGATTTTTCTAAGTGCTGCAGACATAGGGATGGATTATGAACCTCAATAAATCAAAATATAAATTATGTAGCATGCAATAAAACCTCAATTGAACGTTAATGTTTAAGACAAACGAGTGATGTGAATAAGAGAGACATTTTTTATTATTATTTTGTATTAAAGAGTATATTATTTGATTATGTGTAAACATAATTAACGAATATGTGTATGATTATATGGTAAAAGAATTTATAGTTTTTGATGTTAAGATGCAATAATTGATTTGATGGAAAATTAGGATAAAAAAAAACAAAATCGAGACAATATGGTAGCATATATTGCAAAGTATCTCCGTTTTGTATTAGTCTTTTAATTAATATGCAACAAGTATTTGAAGTCTTTTTAGAGATTTTAAAGATTTTTTTCTTTTGGAATTTTAATGCATACAATTATATAATGTAGTACATGAAACGAAAATTAAGAAATAANAGTAAGAAAGTATATATTTTTTTATTTTGGGGGGTCTCCAGAACCAATTAATCAAATTCCCATAGAAACCTATGGTAAATCGATAATCGGTTAACGAACAATTCGGATAGCGAACAAAGTCTTGGAACGGATTATGTTCGTTAACCGATCACTCACTGTATATACTTTTTTGTTAGTTTTTTCAGTATCTCACCATCAAGATAAATTAATGAAACTTTGCAGATGGACAGATAAAACATTGTACTCTTGGACAGTATTATTCAGCTTGTTACAGATTCCACTAGGAGGTGCAAAAATTCAAACAATTCTTGTTTGGTTGGTTCACATAGTAAACATACATGTAAAAATCTTTAAAAAATAATGGATAGAGTCCTTATGTAAATGTAACACACAGTTTTTATTTGACCAACATCAGTGAAGGCTTTTTCAAGATATTCAGGAAAACCTGCAAAAAGTTTTTGAATTTTTGTGCTACAGCGCATGCAAGTCTGAAGCTGAAATTTGGTGTGGAGTAGTTTGGTGCTATGGCCAACCCACCAGAAAAGTTTTGACCTAACTGCAGATTAGGTGGAAACACCTTAGGCCATAGTAATGCCCTTTGGATGAGTTTCATCCAATAGTTCTTTCTACACAAAGCTTTAAACACCTCCTATTTAATTATGTTCACCCTGTATATAAAAACCATTACTGTTTATGTAAAGTATTATTATACTGTATATTACAATACAAAAAATGAGACTGTCACAAAGTGACACAAAATGTAGGAATTGAACCAATAAATTATCAGAGAGGCCTTACTACAATATATGAAAATACATGAATTGGAAAATAACAATGAGAATAAATATTATCTATATTCACTGTACGTTAAATTTTATTTTTATTTAATCTCTCAAGTAAAATTAAATAAACACCAATGAGAATGATGTCTCTCTTCGTAACTTATCCTAATTATTTTTGTCATGTTGTCAGTAGTTGTAACATTAAATTTTTTATTGTTTATTTTCTATTACCTTTTATAATAGACAAATTATCTAAAACTTTCCTGATTTATATTTTATAATATATTTAAATATCTCTAGAAACTTTCTAAATTAAAATTTAGGCTAAATTCTATTGGGAAGTAGGCTAAATTTGAACTAATTGGTTATCCCAGAGTATCCCTTAATTTGGAATAATAAATTTTTGCTGCCAAAATTAAATTCTGTTGATTTTAATTTTTAAGCTAAGAGTTTTTCTTTTTTTAACAATTCTCGCTTATTTGAGTTGTGAAAACATTACTATTATCTGCTTGTTTTCTAATCTTCCTTTTTCGTTACATTTACAAAGGCTCTCAAAAACATCAAGAAAATTTCAAATTTCTTATATATCTATTAGGATTCACAGATAGATATATAAGAAATTTGAAATTTTCTTGTCAGCGTATGTGTAACTAGATATTCTAATTGCCACAAAGAGCAAGGTACAGTACCCATACAGGCAGACCTAGTATCCTATGGAAAACTGAATACAGTGGGTGATTGGTTAACGAACAGATTGCATAACGAACAAATTGGATAACGAACACTTTCGCGAAAGATTTTTATGTTCGGACAACGAACACATGATCGGATAACGAACACCCCACAGANCAGTAGTTGTAACATTAAATTTTTTATTGTTTATTTTCTATTATTATTATTTATATAGTTTTCCATATTAATCTATACATAAAATGCAAGATTTAAATACATTTTTTTCAAATCATTCATTCATTAAATAACATATTAATATATTTGCAGCTGTATTTTAGTAGTAATTATGATCTTATACTTATGGAAAGTTGGATCTTTGAGTCAATGATTGATATCTTAAATTACATCAAATCTTACAATTATAATTCCTTATTATTTTATCATCTGGATAGACAAGGTAAAGGCATTACAATTATTTATAGGAATACTCTTTCAATTATTAAAATCTTTGAATTTTAAGATATCATAGGTTTTGAAAAGCCAAAACATTGCTTTTTGATTATTGTAATTGATGCTTCCCACCAATCAAGAAAATTAATATTTGAACATTTTACCCTGATTCTTGATGCAATAAGGGAGATGTAGTGTCTATAAACTGAAGTATTAAAGAGATTTTAACTTAATATTCAATGGCATCAGAAACTTGCCTCTTTATTTGAATTGGATTTAGCCAAAATATATTTTTTAAAAAAATATTTTGAAGTCACCTAAGAATAAAACCACACCTTTTTCTATAGATGATTAAAACTGTTTAATACCATATTAATACCATATGTTACAAATATTTTCACCCACTTTACACTGGCCTTCCTCAGTTATTAGAAAAACAAATAAAAAATTTGAAAAAAATAAACTTTTAGAATGCAAACAAATGTGAGAACCCAAACTTTTACAAAAATTGGTCTTCAGTTTTATCATATCTATTTTGACAACTAATGTTGTTGAGTATCCTTTACTATCTGAGAACTTCTCAGTTCACATGTTCTTGACAGTGAAAGTGATACTTTCCCTATGATTCGTTGACTTCCTGGCCGTGTGTTACCGATTTTAATATCAGAATTGATGGCCAAATGAGGCAGTCATTGTCAGTTCCTCCAGGAGTGAAAGCCATCGCCAATTTCTCTAACTTTTTAGTTGTGTCAGTGCCCAATTCTACTCAACTAGATATTTCACCCTTGGACACCTCATCACCTACAATTACATCTTCAAAGATGAACTATCTGTGATTCAGAACTTTCCTGAATGTTCCTGAGCGAGATAACCTCAAGACCCTAGTCACCCTAGTCACAACGAGACCCTAGTTAAGGAGCATCACCTTGTGGACACCATCAACCCCAGGTATTTATTGACTCACAATCAATTGTAAGTTCTTTCTCTCATGACCACTCCCATTGAATAGGTCAGCTAATCTGATATATTATATGTATCATGTAACCTTTTCTTGGCTTTTAAAGTTATTTGGTTTTTAAACCTAGTATCTGAGTGCATTACTTCTGTCACGCTGTCTCACAGTCCTCCATTTGGAATCCGATTACCCATACACATGGCTGCTCACACGACCTGCTTCCAAACAAAAATAAATTCACCATCACGGCTTCCATGTCAAATGAGACACAGTGGTGTCAGTCTGATGAAGCATCAAAGAGGTGCCAACCCTCTGGTCTCACAAATTTCCAAATACTGTATACATAAATTTGAGTATTCAAAAGGTGTTTCAAACATATGTAAGTCAAACAGAATATTAATTAAATAAAGTAAAGATTAGAAATCAATAAATTTAATCATTAAAAATTAAAAAATAATTAAAATCAAAATAATACACAATGAGATAGATGACAACATGAAGTTATAGTTTTCCACATGCCAGAAATGGACTCTAGATCCATGGAATTGATGCATACTGTATAGCCTTTCTGGATGATTTGTATATCTTTAGAATCTCTAATGTCTTCAACACTATTAAATGATATGTCTGTCATGTAAGCTGTGCTTCTTATAACTTCTGGTTCTAATGCATAAGTAACCAATACAGTTCTTGGATGACCTTTTTTGAATATGTACTAGTGTTCCCTCACCTTCTCATGTAAAGACCATAATGTAGAGATGAGTAAGAAATTCCCTAACAATAATAAATTTAACAAGAAGGCTAGAAACAAACAGTATGTTTTAATATTTGACAAAAGGGTGCATTTTAGCATCAAAACAGTGTATAAAAAGGTTTCCCCAAAAAATTTTTTGGACTTTATGGCCCACTAGAGTTTTGCTATATTTAACACATTAATTACATTTCAGCTTCCTATCATTGTAGAATGATCAGTTAGGACCAGGGTAGTATTGATAGATGAGGTAAAAAGGCAACTGCCTTAGGCACCAAATTGAAAGTGATATTAAAAAGGTGTCATAATTTTTATAGAAATTAAGCACATTATTATTGTTCTTAGATTTGTCTCAGGAGCCAAAATAATTTGAAATGGTCCAAATGAAGACTTATTTTAAACACCGGAGAATAGTAATATAATTACCTCTTTCTAACCTGTTACCGGTTAGAAAGAGGTAATTATATTACTAATTACTAATACTACGCAATATAAAGTGGCACCATTTAAGGCTCTAAT